TTGGGAGCCCTGCAGAGGAAAGCTGCTGCCAGGAGAGCAATGGCAGCACCAAAACGCTCCAGCAGCCGGGGCCACGCACGCCTGTCCTCAGCCAGCCAGGCCTGCAGGGCGAATGCAGCGGCTGCACAGACCCTGGAGCCATGGGCCCAGAACTGCTGCTTCTCACTCTCCTGAGGGACACTCTCCTTTCACAGAGGGCAGCTCACTGTGTGGTCTTCACGGAAGGCGTTGCGGGGAGGGCAGGCCAGTGTGTCCCCCGGGAATGAACTAGAAAACTCACGGCTGCATCTTTAGTTGACACCTCCAGGAAGAAAAACACATAAATAGCACAGACAACAAAAGCAGGAGCTTTTATTTTAAAAATCACTGAAATCAAGACTTCGAGCCATTCTAGTGCTAAGTCCCAGGACAGGGTACTTTGCTTTCTAGGTCTTCCTTTCCTCTTTCCTTGCACAAGGTCTCATACGTCATCTGGAAAACCTCAGTTCCATTTTGTGGGCCCTGGGGAACCACGAAGGGCTTAAAGAAGGGGAGTGACACAGTCCGGCGGACACTTTACATACCACCCATGGCCTGTGTGTGTGTGGAGAACAGACTGGAGAAGAGCCAGAGTTTTGGCACACAGATCTGTTAGGAGGTTACTACATGAGATACCAGGCAAGGACCTGCCCTAGAATGGTGGCTCAAGGCAGAGAGAAGAGAGGGGCAGCTGCATACAAATAAAATGAGTCACGGCCGGGCACAGGGGCTCAGACCTGTAATCCCAGCACTTTGGGAGGCCAAGGTGGGCGGATCACGAGGTCAGGAGTTCGAGACCAGCCTGACCAACATGGTGAAACTCTGTCTCTACCAAAAACGCAAAAATTAGCTGGGTGTGGTGGCACACATGCCCAGCCACTGTAATCCCAGCTACAGGCGGCTGAGGCAAGAGAATCGCTTGAACCCAGGTGGCGGAGGTTGCAGTGAGCCAAGATCGTACCATTGCACTCCAGCCTGGGCAACAGAGTGAGACTCTGTCTCAAAATAATAATAATAGTAATAATAACAAAATGAGTCACAAAGAGAGAGCTTGTGAATAAGCATGATGGGTGAGGAAGGAGAAGGATGTCTGAGTGACTCCCCAGTTTCTAGACTGGGTGGGCGGTGGTGTCACCAACTGAGACAGAAAATACAAAGGGACAAGAAGATGAGGTTGAAACAATGTAAGTCATGTGAGATATATATATATATATATATATATACACTTAGAAAAGACAGACAATGACCACACAGACTACAGTCGGCTGGAAAAAAAGGAGGATTTGGGAGTCAGAGAGCTTTGGATTCAAGTCCTAGCTCATTACTTAAGGTGTGGAAGCCTTGACCTCACTTTAAAAACCTTTTTTAAAAAAACTATTTTAAACTTTAAAAACTCTTAAAAAAAAAAGAGTAGGAAAACCAATCTTGCCAGGACTGTTGTGAAGGTGAGGACACACAGGTCCCACTCGATGAATGGTTGCCATCATTGTTGACAGTATTTTCTTTGGTATTATTCTGGATAGAAGATCTTCGGTCACATTTCCAAAAACTCTGTGGTGATGGTTCCTGTTAAGTGTCAACTCAGCTAGACCACAGTACCCAGATATGTGGTCAAACACTAGTTTGGATGTCGCTGTGAAGGTATTTTTGTAGATGAGATTAAGTTCGAAGCCAGCAGACTCTGAACAAAGCAGATGACCCTCCATAATGCAGGTGGACCGCGTCCAGTCAGTGGAAAGAAGAGAAAAGGACAGATCTCCTCCAGGGAGGAGGGAATTCCGCCTGGCGCCTCCCTTCAGGCTAAAGCTGCAGCCTCAGCTCTGTGTCCAGCCTGCGAGCCAGCACTACAGACTTTCAAACTGCCTGTTCCCACAACCGTGTGAGCCAATCCTTTAAAATAAATAAATCTCTCTATATACATACACACACATATATGTTATAATCTAGATATTTATATATACGTGTGTGAATGCGTGTGTATACCTATCTGTATCTCTAACTGTATATCTCCCATTGGTTATGTTTTTCTAGAGCACCCCAATAGATCTTTATACTGTAGATTTTCCCGGCATCTATTGTGAATGCCTTTACTTCTCATGAAGCCAAAGCCGAGACTATCTCAATGGTCATGATTCAGAGAGTGAGTTTTTGCTAATGAATCAAGATTGTACTGTTGTGGTCAACACGACAGAAGAACATTCTTATGGTACAGACAACAAACTACCCAGCAAAACCCACACAGTCCGTCTGCAGCGCGGAACTGCCTCTGGGAAGTGACTGTCCAGAGAGGCAGTGCCTGCCACGGGTCCACGGGTTCCTAGATGGGGCCTCAGGACAAGCTCTCCTGAATGGCTTGAAAGGCAAGCAATGAATGTCATTTTCGGACCAAGCAAATTAAACTGCTAGGGTTCCTTTTCTGTTCTCTATTCCCTGTCACTGACTTGCAGCAGATCTCACAGCCCTAGGAAACACTGCGGCCCTCGGGTGGAAGGAGCCAGGTCCCTAAGTCCCTCTGTGAAGGATTCAGTCACAGGCCATGCCTGACCTGGACAAGGGCCAGACTAGCCTTGCCCTAATGGAGCCACTGAAAGTCAGGGGGTAGTACGAGCAGTTAGTGTCACCCTAATGATATCCTAACCTCCCTACATAAGGCAAGGAAGTCAGTCAAGCCACATGATCCCCTTCCCCTCTGCCTGGGGCCTGGGAGGAAATTTGTCCATGGGAGGTCAGTGCTGCCCACCTCCCAGAGAGCAGGCTGGCCCTGCTCCAACCACTGTGGCAGGGCTGGGGAGCAAGCGCTCTGAACACTCCGCTCCAGTAGGTCCAGCTGCTGCGATGTCCCTCTACTGGGATGAGTCCTGAGACCGCAGCCTGCTCCCCTGGCTTCCCTGGGACACTCCTCAGCCGCCACCATAAGGGGTCCTAATTCCTCGTCCGCTCTAAGCTTATGCATCCTGCATGGTAAAATGCCCAGCCCTGTGAGATTCCCGATGCTGGGGCCGGGGCCAGGGGTGGCACGCGGGGGTGACCGGGTGATGGACGTCATTCCTCTCGTCTTTTCGTCCACACACCCACTCTGCGGAAGGCGGCTTTCCTTTGTTTAGAGAGCTTAATCTGTCTGCACCGCGAAGGTGGGTGTGGACGGAGGAGGCAGCTGTCCCCGTGTCACTGAAGGCAGCGCAGTCACCACACTGCATACCCCGAGGACGTCAATCCCACAGTCACCTATTCACTGCATTTCCCCTCGGCACCAAGAGCCAGCTTCAAAATAATCCAGCAAGGGGCTGGGGGGGAAGGTAGGGAGATAGTGACAAAACAAGATGGACCAGATGCTGACATCTGTTGAAGCCAGATGAGGGGTACACAGGGGTTCATGACAGCAGTCTCTTTACTTTTATGTATGTTTGAAAGTTCTAAATAAAAATATTTTTCTAAAAGGAAATTCCTTACATGAGCCGAAATACAGCAGAAGAGGAGCCTCAGCTGACTCTCAGGTCACTCCTGTCTTCTCTGATACCATTTTAGGGCGTCATGGTTACTCCCATGAAAGAAGAGGTGTTTTCAATAGACAAATGTGGGTTATTTTTCTATTCCCATTAATATTTACTACATGTCATTATCTCCAAGTCTAATCACTTAAAGAGGAGATTTTAAATAATTGATTAATATAAAAGAAGAAAAATGCCACGCTGTCTGTTTCATTATCTATCAAAACCCGGAAAATCTCTTCCTCTAGTCCTGACACGGACACATACATATATTAATGCATACACTGAGAAGAACAGGCATACAAATCAATAGACACAAATCTGCTTAGGGTATTTTTCCGAGGGAAAAACCATCCTCCTCTCCATCTCCCGCGTGGCCTGCTCCTCAGCACAATGCCACAGCAATTCAAATAACTCTCTTTATTTTACTCACAGAATTTTAGGGTTCCCCCCAAAACACAAAACTCTAACATTTCTTGAACGCTGATAAAATATGTTCTGTTTGTGTGATCATACGTATGCATGCATAGTGCATAAACAGGCTTTAATGTCTAGAGGAAACGCATGCATCCACACTTTTTTTTTTTTTTTGAGATGGACTCTCTCTCTGTTGCCCAGGCTGGAGTGCCATGGTATGGCGCGATCTCAGCTCACTGCAACCTCTGCCTCCCAGGTTCAAGCGATTCTCCTGCCTCAGTCTCCCCAGTAGCTGGGATTACAGATGCTCGCCACCATGTTCTGGCTAATTTTTGTAATTTTAGTAGAGATGGGGTTTCATCATGTTGGCCAGGCTGGTCTCGAGCTCCTGACCTCGTGTCCGCCCGCCTCGGCATCCCAAAGTGCTGGGATTACAGGTCTGAGCCACCGTGCCAAGCCGCATCCACACTTTTAAAATGCCGTTGTTGGCCGGGCGCAGTGGCTCACACCTGTAATCCCAGCACTTTGGGAGGCCAAAGTGGGTGGATCATGAGGTCAGGAGTTCAACACCAGCCTGGCCAAGATGGTGAAACCCCGTCTCTACTAAAAACACACAAAAATTATCTGGGCGTGGTGGCAGGCGCCTGTAATCCCAGCTATTCAGGAGGCTGAGGCAGAGAATCATTTAAACCCGGGAGGCGGAGGTTGCAGTGAGCCAAGATCATGCCACTGCACTCCAGCCTAGGTGACAGAGCGAGACTCCGTCTCAAAAAAAAAGAAAAGTCCTTGGTTCACGCTCGGTCCTTGCAGCAGGACACCAAAACAAAACAAACACAAAGAGGATGCTCTTGAAGCATCTCAGCAAGACACCAAGCGGCACTCTCAGAAGCACCTCCTGCAAGAAACAGCGCTTCTCATTGAGAGCCCATCAGCCTTCAGCAGTGAGATTTTATCAAGCTCTGCTTCCTGCTGCCTGAAAAAAACCTACAATTCTCTTCGCCATTGCCTCCAACCTGCTCACACATCTGAAGGTGGAACCCTGCTCCGAGGCCACCTGGAGACACAGGTGCCACTTACCACGAGGGAGAGGGGCCTCTTCCAGGAGACGACACCTATGAGTCCGGACAGCAGCACCTGGAAGGGCAAAAAGTACAGGAAGGTGAGATGCTTCCAGAACCTTTCATGGGCAATCAAAACACGGTGAACCGTTTGAACCTGGAGAAGGACGCGTGGAACACAGCACGCACTCAGTGGTGGGATGAGCTGCATTGTCACAGCTTGCACCCACTCTGACAGGCACACTGGTCTCTCAGGGCACCAGGGCACTCCGGAGGGGTCCCTTTGTGCACTGCACGAGGTGGCCCAAGAGTGACAGGCTTTCTGAAACACCCCACCCTGGTCCTCGACGTGATTTGGCTGTGCTAGGCACACGCCTGTAATCCTAGCTACTCGGGAGGCTGAGGCACGAGAATCACTTGAACCTGGGAGGCGAAGGTTGCAGTGAGCCAAGATCACACCACTGTACTCCAGCCTGCGAGGCAGAGTGAGACTCCATCTCAAAAAAAAAAAAAAAATCACAGAGAACACTATTTGGGGAAAAGGCAAAGGCAACCCCACCCACACGCCACCGGGCCACCTGCCACGGCTGCATGGGCCCCAGGCACAGCAGACCCTGGAGGCTCCTTCTCCCCTCTACACACTGGGCTCCCCTGACGCACGCCCTTCTCTCTCCTCCCCTCCACACGCTGGGCTCCCCTGACGCACGCCCTTCTCTCTCCTTCTCCCCTCCACACGCTGGGCTCCCCTGACGCACGCCCTTCTCTCCCCTCCAGCCCCTGCGAGCCCCTCCCCTTCACTCATCACAGCTTCCCACCTCACCCAAACATAGGCAGTGTCTTCTGATGAGGCTCCTGAACTTTCTAGGCCCTGACTCCAAGCAGCCTACTCCTTTCCCAGGCCAAGTCCTGTCCTTGACCTTGCCTGGGGTCCCACCAGAAGTCACCCCCGCTCTCCTGCCTCCTCCTTACTGTCCTGATCACATAAATATGCTGTGACTTCTGTCCCTCAGAAGAACCACTGCTTAGCCCTGTGTCCAGCTCCTGGCCTGCCTGTCTCCTGGGCAGCCTCCCGAGTCCAGGTACCCTGAGGATGACACTGGCTCTGATCCCCACATTCCTGATTTCCTGGTGTCCAGGAAGGGCCAACTGATCATGGAGACACAGTCACTTCCCACCCACTACCATCTATCTGGTTTCAGCTCCACAACTCCAAGGAAATGTCTCCCAAGGTTCCCCAGCAGTCATTGAGTGCAACAGACAAAGCTCGGTCCCCATCACCTGGCTGAGGGCTGAGGCTCCCTCCCATCTGGGCTCCTGCGGCTCCTCACTCCCCTGCGGTTCTTCCCACTTCCCAAGGGGCTGCTCTCCTCCACAGTCTCCCTCCTGGCCTCCTCCCTCTCCCCAGCCTCTTCCTGGTTTCCCAGGACCTGTGTCTCCTGAGCCTGTTGTCTCCCCTCCCCAGGGCTCTGTGGTGGCTGTCCTGAGGCTCCTCGAGCATCATCCACTGGTGTCTGCACAGGTGATTTTCAGCCCAGGGCTTTGCCATGGCCATGGCATCACACCATCCACAGGCTCCGCTCCTGGCATCTGTCCAACCCAACATGTCCAAAAATGCAGCTGCAGCCTCCACCTGGGAAGCCCACACGTTCTCATGTAACCTCTGCTCTCCACAAGAGTACCCCTTCTTCCTGGTCACTCAAGCCCAAATCCTAGAGACCCTTCCTCTCCCTCACCCCCACGTCCAACCGGGAGGCTAAGGCTCGTTCAACAGGGCAGCATGTGAGAAGGCGAATTACAAGGAAGGTGTTTGTAGACCAGGTCTCCTGTGAAGACAAATCGCTCACACTTGCCACAGTGGGCACGAGCCAGGCATCCAGGCACTGGCCGGAAGGGCTTGGCTGCATGGCCCCTGGGACTCCAAAAGCACTGGTCAGACCCTGGAGGAGCGCATGGTGCTGACAAACTCACAAGGTCCCCTTGGTCACAGACTGCAGTTCACCCTCAGCCACCTCCGCAGGGGCAGAACCAGGTCTCAGACACAGCAGCCTCTATCACATCCAGCACCACGCTAGTCCAGTCTCAAAAACATCTGGCCACAAAACAATAAAACAACAAAAACATGGACCAAAGCGAGCGCACCAGGGCCCTGCTCCCAAGACTCTCACGTGTGTACTTTTTCTGCAACGCACACAAGTCCTCCAAACACAGCCACCGGCGACAGCCTTTATTTACAGTCATTTCCCACCTCCCGGCTCCGCTCTCATGGCCGTGCACCCAGCTCCTTGCCTTGCAGTCCAGTTTCAACCCTACGGAAATCCTTGACCAGTACCTCTCCCGTCTCTCTGGGGCTGCGTCTCACTAACTCTCCTTCCGAATGCCCCGAAACCTCTCTCTTGCCTTCTGTGCCCAAGACTTGAACCAGTGGGCACAGCATGTTCCCATGTCATCTCACAGTCAGAGGACACCGGCCTTTCTCGGACGGAGCTGACCATTCCCGCCAGAGCTCTCACCATCGTTTCATGCTTGACGTTTCAGACCCTGACTTCACTCCTCCACCCCCACCTTCTTTTGGTGAATTCAAAATTTTGACCATAATGCCATCATGTTTTGAGCTCATGGTACAGGTCAGGGGCTACTCCGTCACAAAGCAGGATCCATTCTTCTGCTCAGCACCCTCCATTTCCTGGATCGTCTCTCTCGCCTCTGCCAGCACGCTCCTGTTTCACTTGCCGGATGACAGCCTTGTCCACTCGCTCTTGTCTCCGCCTCCTCCCTCCCCACTGAAGCCATCCCGGACGCCTCCGCCAAACAAACTGCATCTCCCTGGCCTGACAATTTAGACCACAAAGCTAGGCCCTGATTTTCCAGTACTGGAGGCACCTCCCTTGGTGGCCCCACTCCTGTCCAGGCCACTCTGGGCACCTCCAGGGAGGCTGGGAAGGGAGGAAACTGCACAGCAGCCACTGTGTGACTCACACACAAGCCACAGAGCTCTGTGGGCTGTCTCCCCTCCACACCCAACCTCCGAGACAGCCCCCATCTTCCCGCACTCCCTTCCTGTCGCCCCAGCCCTCTCGGCCCCAGCCTCAGCCCCCGACTCTTCTTATCCCTCCGGTTGAGGGCCACGTTCCAGGGCTCTGGCTCTAACACTGCCGTCTCCCTAGGATGAAACTTCCAAAAATGTTTGGAGCATGTTTCTCCTCATGCTCCAAACTGGCCTCACCCAGACTAAGCCTGGACAGACGGTGAGAAGAAACATCCCCCAGAAACTGGCGCCTTCTACTTCCCATGTCTACCAGATGAACTCTTACCCGTTCTTCAACCACGGCCCCGCCCTCCTCACTCATGAAGAGCCTAGGAATTCAAGAGAACAGGGGGCCCAGCAGATCCCCAAACTACCACCAGAGTCCTGCAGCCATTTTAATAAACTCAGATACGGGCCGGGCACAGTGGCTCACGCCTGTAATCCCAGCACTTTGGGAGGCCGAGGCGGGGGGATCACCTGAGGTTGGGAGTTCGAGACCAGCCTCAACATGGAGAAACCCCATCTCTACTAAAAATACAAAATTATCCAGGCGTGGTGGTGCAGGCCTGTAATCCCAGCTACTCGGGAGGCTGAGGCAGGAGAATCACTTGAACTTGACAGGCAGAGGTTGCGGTGAGCTGAGATCACGCCATTGCACTCCAGCCTGGGCAACAAGAGTGGAACTCTGTCTCAAAAATAAATAAATAGATAAATAAATAAATAAATAAATTCAGAACGCCTTGACCTCTTCTCAGCTGAAGTGTATTAAACTATCAAATTTCTATAGTGACTAAGTTGCTTGTAGCAGGAATTTCACTGAAAGTACATAAACCTCCAAATCGTAGGCACTGCTCCACCGACTTCTAAGCCTGAAGGAAGTTAATATTGTTTTTATCTTAAGCTACAGGGAGAGGTCTTGACCTTCCCCATTCCCATAAGCAAAGCTATCATTCCACAAATCCCCTCACAGAATTTGACTTTCAACAAACACAGGTGACTCGCTCACTGAAGACGATGTGCATTTCCAAATATCATTAATAACTACAACTAGGAATGGATCAAATTCTCCCACACAAAGCAAAAGAATAAAGCCACTAAACTTAGTGTGGCAGGCAGAATTCTAAAATGACCTCCGGCCTTATAGAATGCTCTCCGTGAGCAAGAATATGATGGGCTGTCACTCTTGTGGTCTTCCCCCAGGGGCATGTTCGAATGACGTGGCCCCAGCAACACTCCGGTTGCAGCCTTGTGAAACCTGGTCAGGTGACTCTTATATGGGAGGGGGGCAGGGAAACGCTGGGTAGAGAAGGGTGGGGTGCCTGGCGAGGGCTCCACCCTCAGGCCTATGCCCATGGACCTAAGTGAGAACAGGCACTCCTGTTTTCATGCCCAAATGTTGCATCTTCCAAGACCACTCTGGCCCCCCATACCCCCCATCCTATGCCCATAAAAATCGGAGACTATAGGGGGCACGGACACAAGCAGCTGGATGTTGAAAGGAGCAGAAGAGCACACCGACAGACACCAGCAGATGCTGGCAGGCCACTGACGGCGGGATGATGCAGAATTTGGTCGGAGGCAGTCAGAGGAGAGTCCAGCCACTGGCTGGCCCGACTCCAGGGGAGGACCACCTTCCCACTCCATCCCCCTTTGGCTCCCTATCCACTTCACTGAGAGCTACCTCCAGCACTCAATTAAACTTTGCACCCATCCTCCAAGCCCATGTGTGATCTGATTTTTCCTGCACACTAGGGCAAGAACCAGGATACAGAAAGCCCTCTGTCCTTGTGATAAGGCAGAGGGTCTAATGGAGCTGATTAACACAAGCCACCTGCAGACAGCAAAACTGAAAAAGCGCACCGTAACATAACACACACCCACTGCGGCCTTGGGACCTGCACACACTCAACCCTAGAGGCTGCTGTGGAGTCGGAGCCCCAGAACGCTCCCCACAACCTACCCACCTGCGTGGTTTGAACAGCGGGGCACCGAAGAAGCGAACCACACCCCTGTCACGCCCTGTGAGGGGATAAGGGAACTCTGCCAGTTTC